AACACAAGTCTATGAGAGCCAAAATATGACCTTGAACATATCCTACCTGAACTTAGAGGTCATCTCAAGAACAGATTCAATGCATTGTACACTAACGACCAAAGAGCATAAGAGTTGTGGGATGACATAAAAAGCTTCATACAGGAAGAAAGCAAAAGGCCATTAAGAACACAAAAGAGAAGGAAAAGAACTAAATGGATATCAGAAGAGACTCTGAAACTTACTTTCCAGAATAGAGATGCTTAATCAAATGTAAGAAATGAAGAGGTAAAAGAACTGAATAGAAAAATTCAAAGGGCAGCTCGATAACCTAGTCAAATATTATAATGAAATGTGCAAAGACCTGGAGTTAGAAAATCTAAAGGGAAGAACATGCTCACATTTCTCAAGCAGAAAGGACTAAAGAGAAAAGCAAGTCTCGACTTGCAATATTGAAGAATTCTATAGGCAAAACATTGAATGATGCAGAATACATCAAAAAAAAGATGGAAGAAATATACAGTCACTGTACCAAAAAGAAATGATCAAAGTTCAACCATTTCAAGAGGTAGCATTTGATCAAAAGCCAATGATACTGAAGGAAGATGTCCAAGGTGCGCTGAAGGCATTGGCAAAGAACAGGGCTCTGGGAATTGATGGAATACAAATCAAAATCTTTCAACAAACTGAGACAGCAACGGAGACTATCACTCATCTATGCCAAGAATTTTACAAGACAGCAATTTGGCCAAACGACTGGAAGAGATCCATATATTTGTACCAAGTCCAAAGACAGGTGACCCAACAGAATGCAGAATCAGACAATATCATTAATACTGCATGCAAGTGAAATTCAAAAACAGCTAAAGACAATTCAAAAACAGCTGCAGCAATATATTGACAGGGGACTGCCAGAGGCTCCGGCCGAATTCAGATGGGGACATGGAACAAGGGATATCATTACTGATGTCAGATGGATCTTGGCTGAAAGCAAAGAATACCAGAAAGATGTTTACCTGAGCTTTTGGTTTGGTTGGTTATGTGCCGTGGAGTCAGTTCCAACTCATAGCAATCCTGTACAGGGTTTCTGAGGCTGTAAATCTTTACGGGAACAGAAAGCCTCATCTTTCTCCCACAGAACAGCTGGTAGTTTTGAACTGCTGACCTTGCAGTTCACAGCCCGATTCATAACCACTACGCTACTCTACAGAAAGGCTTTCGATTGTGTGGCTCATGACAAGCTAAGAACACCATTGTGGAGAATTAGTAATCCAGAGCATTGAATTGTGCTCCCAAGGAAACTGTATGTAGACCAAGAGGCAGTTGTTTGAATAGAACAGGGGAACACAGAATGGTTTGAAATTAGGAAAGGTGTGCAACAGGGTTGTATAGTTTCACCATACTTATTCAATCTGTATACTGGGAAAATAATTCCTGAAGATGGATTATATGAAGACCATGGCATCAGGAATAGAGGAGACTCGTTAACAGCCTGCGATGTATAGATGATACAACCTTACTTGCTGAAAGCAATGAGAAATTGGAATACTTACTGATGAAAATCAAAGACCACAGCCTTCATTATGGATTGCCACTCAATGTAAAGAAAACACAAATCCTCTCCATTGGACCAGTAAATAACATCCATATAAATGGGTAAAGGATTGAAGTTGTGAAAGACTTCATTTTGCTCCAATCAGCCATCAATACTCATGTAAGCAGCAGTCAATTAATTGAAAGATGTATTGCATTAGAGAAATGTGCTGCACAAGACCTCTTTTTTTTATTAAAACAGCAAAATATTTAATAGTAATTACATTTCCTAAAATCAGGAGCTTAAATTTCTTTATTTAAGAAAACATTCTTAAATAGTAACTAGAGGCTTCCAATACATTGTTCATTTTTAATTTCAAATTTTTATTGTGAATTGAGTGATAGTTTACATGGGAGAACATTGCTTTTACACTCATCATTTCATTGCAATGATTATATTCTCCTCTGTGCATCATCATTTAACAGTATTTGCTTCTATTCCCTCTGTTTTTGTTTTTTTGTTGTTGTTGTTGTCTTTAGATGTACAAAAAACACCCTGGAATATATAATCATTTAAACAACCAGAGGGCACACTCTGCAAGCACACAGCCTTTCTCTTTCCATGAGTCTACAGTCCTCAGATGTTCTATTTCTTCTTGTCATCATCTCTGCCTCCATTTCTGGTGTTGCTGCTTCTCTGGTTAGGGTTCCACATTCCGCTTGTGCTCTTCTCCCTTGATGGTCCTAGGGTCCTCTGTTCCTGGAATGTAAGATTAACTACTTCCCCCTTTTTGTTACAGAACTTCTACCTTTACTTTTGTGACAGTCACAATAATAACAATTATTGACTATTGAATCATAAGAATGTTATCCCCATCTCTTTTCACCAGACCCATCTAGACAAGATGAGAACTATTCAATGGGGATTCTACCTTCTGCTGCACACTCTGAAACTACACTCCCTCTTGAAAACTTGTAAGCCAGTCACTTCATGCCTTTATCACCTCTCCCAAACCCCCACTCCCATTTTAGGTAGCCAATGTCTAAGTTGCCTGTCCCTATCAACCCTCTATACAGGGTTTGCTATTCACATACAGAAAGCACTGGGTAATGTTTGAAAACAGCTTTACCCTGAATATTCATTCACACTACCCTTACTTTCTTTCATTGTCTATAATATACAGACTTCTAAAACTAAATCATTATTGAAGGCCATTAAAACTTAGCCTGCTTCTCAATATATGACAATGACTGTGAAATCAGAGTGTCAGCATTTCTCCCTAAAGGGGAGTAAATCCCCCCCACCAAGGGTCCACGGTGCTCTCGAGTCAGGTCAACTGATAGGGGCGCCTGTGGTGACTAGATTGTAGTAGGCTCCTTTTTGGGCCATCAGTTCTTCGTGGGTCCCCTTTTCAATGACCACCCCTTGTGACATGACAGCAATGATATCTGAGTTCTGGATAGTGGACAGGCGATGAGCAATAACAATGCAGGTCCGGCCCTCTCTGGCTTTGTCCAGGGCAACTTGCACAGTCTGCAGAGAGAAGATAGACAGCTGATGCAAAGGGGCATGATTGTCTCCCAGCTTTCCATCACAAGAATGCAGCTGAACACCATCAGAGTCACAGGCAAACACAAAAAACCACTGCTAATGAGTTGGTTCTGACTCATGGTGACCCCAAGTGTTACCAAGTAAAACTGCTCCAGAGAGTTTTCCTGACTAGGATAAATTCAAACCATCAAACCAAGTTAGTAGTCAAATATAGTTTATGCCGCACCCCCCCCCCCCCCCCCCCCCCCCCCCCCCCCCCCCCCCCCCCCCCCCCCCCCCCCCAGGGACCTTCACGTGCTATACACAGAGTAAACCCAAAGACTGCATAGGAGAGAGGATTAAGCAAACATTCATTGAATGCAATGAATCGGTGGTTTAAATTGTAATCCACAGGCCAAGAAATTTCAGTGAAGCAAGAATAATCCAAACTGTGTAATTTTGCCATGCCTGATGGTCTCGTTTGCTAAAATGAAACCAAGGGAGCAATGTAGAGCAGCAGTTAAGTGGTCATTCCTGGTCTGTTCTTCTTTGAGGACATTTTTTTTTCTACCAAATGGACTGCTGATTTCTAGGGTGTTAATTATTAAATGTTAAATTTCACAGTTGGGTTTTGTTCAGTTGCATCTCTTTTCATGTGTACTGAACACCAGATACTGCCTCTTTTTGTGTGTCCTATGATACCCATGTGCTCTACCACATAAATTTGTTGTCATTGTTGTTAGGGACTGGTGGTACTGAGTTGGTTCTGAGTCAACAACAGCAGAACAAAACACTGCAGAGTTGCCTAACAAATAACCTAAAAATTATTTGACTTTAATTAAGAGAGTGAATTATTTTCTCTTGAAAGAGAGTCATCTAGCCCAAAGAATCTTATCATTAATTCTTATTTTGAATTTGAAGAATTTCTTATTTGAAGCAATTATATTTTAAATCACTTTCTCTAGACTATTGTGCTTTGGTTCCACAAAACGTTGCCAATTTCTACGTTAATGAATCAGAGAATTGAAAATTATGCCATTCTTTATAAAGACAAATCTTACATCCAAAGACTTATTATTTATAATGATCTAATACTATAGAGAATCCATATGTACCTTTTCACTTTCTGTGTCCAAGGCAGAAGTGGCTTCATCTAGTAGCAAAATTTTGGGATCTCGCAAGATGGCCCGAGCAATAGCAATGCGTTGCTTCTCCCCTCGAGAGAGTTGAGACCCATGAGCTCCAACTTGGGTTTCATATTGCTGGGAAAAAGATGGTCAGTTTAAGAACCAGAGACCACCATATCTCCTGTGCCACACAGGGGCCCCATCAATGAGCCCTCTGCTAATTTAAACTGCTTGTTGTCATTCGATATTGGGAATAATGTATGAATTCTTCTATAAAAGATGGCAAATCCCTTTATGAATATATGAAAAATCTGAATTTTGTGACCTTTAGTGTTGTGGGATGACATCAAGAACATCATATATGAAGAGAGCAAAAAGTCATTAAGAAGACAAGAAAGAAGGAAAAGGTCAAAATGGATGTCAGAGGAGACTCTGAAACTTGCTCTCCAGCGTAGAGAA